TTTTCCACAAGTGTTTCAAGACCCTTTGTATTTGTGAGCTGTCTCTAGCCAGGAAAGAGACCTGTCATTTTGATTGACTTTGAGAATGTTGCTACTAGATTTGTATTTTCCCAGAAAAGATAGTAAGAAACATCTGTTGGAATTGAGAAAAGCCTTTCCAAGGCACCACTTAAAAGTTATTGTTGTTTGTAATAAAAACTTTGAGATTGTGGTAATGAGAATAGTACTGTATCAAGTATGACAATCTTACCCCCAAGAATGCATGTTCACCTGATAAATGTGTGTTGCACATCAATGGCAGCACATTCTCAGGGAGGGTGATCCATTTTTTCCCCCAACTCCGACGGACCCTGTTACCCCTGGTGAAGGAATCTACTCATCCAAACATCACATGAATGTCTACGGTCCATACACACAGTCTCACAGGAAGAATAATTTAAATATTTTAAATGTTCAGAATGCTAAGGGTTTAGGTGTTGGAGGGGGAAGGAAATACAAGCAAGTTGCTATGATCCTACACAGCAGAGCTGCACCACCTCTGCATCTAGTTCCTAGACAACAAGGTCCGAATAGCCTAAGAACTGAAAGCCAAATAGAAGCCCTTGGGGCAGCCACATTTTGAAAGAGGGGCGGAAACTAGAAAACAGTAAGAGGGGAAAAAAATAAGGCTGGATATTACAAAATTAAAAAATAGGTGAAAAACCATTTTCAGCATCAAATGCAACCAAGAGTTCTGGAGAGAGAAGCAGCAGAAAGTGATTTGACCAGGAGGAAGTTAGCAGTGGTTGCTGAGGTTAAGTGGTTTCTGACTGGGCAGGTGATTATTATTACATAAACAGTAGCTTCAATGGAATAAGATGTTTTAGATCAAAATCTTCTTTCAAACAGAAGGTGGAGAGCTGTAATAATTACTCACCATTCATTCATATAGCCCATTGGCTAATAGTGTACTTTTACAAGTGACTAACTCTACCAGGTTCCATGAGGTAATAGCATCAAATAGAAAAGCCAAAATTAAATCATAATGCTCCTCTCTCACAAGCAATCTTGATGAAGGGTTTTTTTCTTTTGCTTTTGGGGTGGGACAAAGTTTTAAAATGATGATTTAAAAATTAAAATCTCCTTTCCCTGTAGCTGTTTCCTTCTATATCCTCTTCTGATCTATCATTATATTTTTGTTTTTCTTTTGTAATTAGTAAAGTGTAATTTACCTCATAAAGTGTTGACCTAGAAGGACAGCAAACTTTAAAAAACAATCAAATCTCAAAGTATCTTATTATGATGAGGAAAATGGCATTTTTATTGTGCCCTACCTTTTTCCCTCTAAAAATACATACAAAAGCCCATAAAAACCAGTCCAAAGGAACCACAGTTCCCTCAGGTACACACACACAAATATCTTACATTACCGTGCATGTCATGATTTAACAGGTTTGTTGGACCACGTTACTGGCAATGTATCACTGTGGATTTTGACAAGAGGTTAAAAACCTCACGTCTGAAAGAGTCATGTGTGGGTGCTGAGGAAAAACAGAGATGGTATTTATAAGTTGTGTTAGCTATTCATCTCTGCCAACAACATAAACCCAACAATCCACATGGAGTAGGCCATAGAAACATTTTTTAGTAAATATACACCTACAGGTTTCTCAGAATGGACTTCAAAGGTGCCTGCAGTGAGCAACGCGGAGCCTAGAAATTAGGCAAACTCCTGGGAACAGATGGTACATGGAGGAGGATGCACAGGCCTTTAACCTAGCTGCGGTAAGACACCAGCATCCCACATTGGAGTACCTAGGGTCAGAATCCCTGCCACTCACATGAGACACCCGGATGGGGCTCGCAATTGCTCCTTCCCACCAGGCCCAGGCCTGGCCATTGCAGGCAACTGACAAGTAAAGCAGCATATGGGAACTCTCTCTGCTTCTCAAATAATTTTGTTTTACATTTTTTTAAACACAGGGCAATTTTAAACTTAAACACGGACATATTGTGGAATAAAATACAGAATTCTCCAGATTTTTTTGTGAAACAAAACTTTGAGGTCCATACCACAGAGTCTTCCTCTCCAGACAAGCATGTGGCTAGAAGGCTTCAGGCCTGCTTCATCTGCAATGGGAACTGCTTAAGCTCCACTTGCTTGAGTAGATACTTCTCTGTGTAGACACGTGCACTTTTCACGTCACTGTTATAATCAGGTGAAACTACAGTTCTCATCACTTTCAAGAAGTAAGGTCTGGGGCTTGCATTGCCTCAAAGGCAATTAATCTACCACCTGCAAGGACATTATCTCCTTTCAGAGGTGTAGGTTCAACTCCCAGCTGCAATGCTTCCATTCCAGCTCCCTGCTAATGGACCAGGGAAAGCAGTGGAAGATGGCCTAAATACTTGGGTCCCTGCCACCCAAGTGGGAAATCTGCCTGGAGTTCTAGATTCCTGGCTTACACATGACCCAGTCCCTGTTGTGGCCATTTGCGGGATGAAGCAGCAGATGAAAGACCTCTCCCCCAACCTGACACATCCATCCTTTCTCTTCTAAAATGTTAAAAACTCAGCCTTAAAAAAACTTAAGATCTTTGGGCTCAACATTGTGGTACAGAGGGTAAATACATCATCTGCGACTCTGGCATACTATATGAGTGCCTTTGGAGTCTAGATTGTCCTATTTTTGATCCAGCTCCCTCCTAATGTGCCTGGAGAAGCAGCAGAAGATGACCCAAGTGCTTGGGCCCCTGCACTCACATTGAAGGCATGGATGAAACTCCTAGCTTCTGGCTCCTGGCTTTGGCCTGGTCCAACCTTTGTTTTGCAGCCATTTGGTTAGTGAACCAGTGAATAGGGGATCTCTTAACTCTGTTTTTCAAATAATATATATTTAAAAAACACAAGCATGGAACATACTACTGTTTTTTAAAAGACAGAATTAAGGTCAGCTGTAAGGGACTTTTGTACCTAGCTATCCAAAACAAGCTCACCATAAAAACAAACAAATCTTTCCCAGCTGTAAGCAGCTGCCTAGGTTGCCCTGTACCTAAGCAAGTGGTACAGTGCTGGGAGAAAAGCAGCCAATAGCTGGTGGGCATTCTGAGCCTAGTTAATGCCAAATTTTTGTAAACTAGTATGCCAGCATAGTTGCTTATTCTTTACCATTCAATCTACAAGAGCTTGACCTTTGTAGGAAGAGACCTTAAAATTCTGACTTTTGGTCCTAAGGCAGACCACTCTCACAGGTGTATAGCCAGGTTAGAAGCAGGTAGGCCAGGGGCCCCGCCCCAGGGGTCTAGGCAGTTGCTCCCACAGAGTACCACAGTGCTAGGCCAGAGCTGTGAGGCCAGCAGTGTAAGGCCAGGGTCCTGAGTGGGTGAGGTGTCACACTGATGGCCTTTAGCAGGCTAGAGACCTGACTGCTCCTAAGCAAGAGTGGCAGGACAGAGACCTGTTGCCATGTCCAATGGTGTGCAATCACACCAATCTTGAACTAGGCAGACTGGGGGCCTAATGGATCCTATACAGGTGGTACCCAGGTTAAGATTAGACAGAACAAGGGCGTTGTTGGTCCTGGGTAGGCTGCTCCTGTAGTATGCTATCACATCAGTCATGGAGCAGCCAGACCACGGGCCTCATGAGCTCTTGGTACAACACCAAGCTAGGTCAAGGTTTCTGAGACCAGGGTCCCAGTGTAGGGGGAGCACAGCAAGGAGAGGGGTACCCCAATGAAGACCTTTGGCAGGTCAGGAGCTCCATGTCAGGTTCTAGGTAGGCCATACCCATGGTATGCCACCACACTACACCAGCGCTGGGGTAGGGGTAGGGGAGCACTTGATGGCCTTTAGCAGCCTAGAGGCATGACAGCAGAGTCCAGGGCAGACTGCACCCACATCACAACACTGTGCCTGTATGGGAGCCAGAGGCCAGGAGCCTGATAAATTCTAGACTGTCACACCCACAGTGTGCCACCATGCAAAGTCAGGAGCCTGAAGCAGTGACCTTAGTGGGGGGCGGGGTACCCACTGATGACCTTTAGCAGGCTATGTGCCTGACAGGTCATAGTATCCATAGGACACATTCATGGCCTGATGTCTAGTTTGTCTCAGACTTAACAGAAACTCCTAGAGACCAGAGCCCAAGGTTGTATGTCTTGGCATTGGAATACACAGTGCATGTTGTGCTGCCTTCTATGCTAACTTCTAGGCAGGGGAGAGGATCATGCCCAGTTACACATGAAGGATGAATCATCCTGCTCCTATAAACTATTCAAGAACCTCAGATGCTACTTCAAACGACAAAGTCTAGAGACTTCATAGAGTGGCAATGATGATGCAGGGGATACAGCCATTGGCACCAGCTGGAATTTCTCCAGCTCCTGAGATGGACCCATTAGATAGATGAGTTTGACAGAAATATTTGAACCTGAGACATGGAAGGCCTACACTGCTAATCAGCCAGCAGGAAGCAGCCTCATTCTTCTGCAACCCCTAAGAATAAGAGGTAATGGTCTCTGAGTAGGAAATAAATTGGGTCAGGCAGGTAGCTAGCTTGGAGTCACATATTGGAAGTCATGCCTCCCCAACTCTATGAAATACTGCCTGCCTATCTGTTCTACTGATGGTGTTCTACTGATGGAAGTACAGAGAGACCCGAAGCCAAAGAAACCATTTCACCTTTTAAAATTTCAATAATTACTAACTTCTGTATTATGACTCAAATGTAGGTGACATTCTTCCCTATAGAAGGTTATAAGATAATCAAGTTTATATTCAGATTGAGGTTATGCATAAGGTATTTGTTTTGAGTACAGAATGTAATCCTTTCATTTAAAGAGCTTTTTAAACAGGGCCATTATCATTATTTTAGTGGCTCAAGGCTTCAATCTTATGTTTTCAATCTTAAAACCATACTCCAAGTAGAAAAGAGGCTTAGTTTCTTTGTGGAAAACAACCATTCCAGTACATTTTCTAAAGGTTAAACACAATTTTTTAAGACTGAAACAGTATTTATTGTGGGAAAGATGTATTTTATTAATCAAAGACACAAACCAAAACTATGATCGTTAACAATAGGCAAAGAAATATCAGTGAAAGTTAATGAAGATAAGTTCCATTAAATTCCTAAGGAAAATACAATTCCGACACCATTAAAGTTATAATTAGAACCTTTCAAACAACAGGGCAAATATAAACAGTATAAATGACTGAAATAATTGTGTGCTGAAACACGATGTATCATAGAACAGTGGTGATGTTTTTTAGTCTTGGGTGTTTAAACCATTACCACCACCTGGCAACTCTGACAATGGATGCCATGAGACTCTGCCCATCGGAACAGAGACTAATAAAGTATACAATCAAATCAGACAACCTTGGCTGGGAAGGGGTCACAATTCAGACAGGTCAACCATCTAGCACACTATAATCCATAGCAAATTCAGAGGGATCAAGTTCCATCTCATTAGTATTTAAAACAGCCATCTCACAACACCTGTCAAAGGCCCCATATTGAGAAAAATAAGTCAAAAGAAGCACAGTATTTCATTTAGATTTTACTAGCTCTTCCAGTGTTTCGGAGGAATAGAGGGTTTCAATGACCTAACAAAAAATGACACTAAAAGGCAGATTTAGACGATTGATTAGGTCTCTTGATGTAGTCTTTCAATCTACTGGTATGTAGTATTCGTCAGCGTTCCATTCAGGCATTTTTGTAGTTCACAGGGGGTAACCTAAGTGTCCTGAAATTTTAAAAGAAAAGTTAATTTGCTTGTCACCTAAATTCTGAGAATATTTTGATCTACCCTCCCAGTCTGCCCTTGACAAGTACCGGCACTTGCTTACTGCTTTGTCTACTTCACCTTTATCACTGTCCTAATTTACACTGGATGAGATGCTCTCTTGGTGAAAAGCTATTTCTAGTGGACTGCATACACTCATATGGCCTAATTTTGGAGGCAAGTTTTGATTCAATAGCTTCGACATCTGAATAGTAAAAACTGTTGGTGTCTGAATGCCTCCTAGAGCACACCTCTCATTTTAATGGAGCCACTCTAGATATAAATACGCCAGTGGATAAAACCTCACTGATAAACTTAGTCTATGTATCACACTAACAGAGCTAAGGATGAATATGAACGCACCTTAAAGTTGGAGAGGAGCAAGGCTCGCAGATATGTTGGTTACACTATCTCATACTGGTTATTTGTGATGGCACGAGAGAGGCAGTAGGCTAGAAAGATTCCTACCAGCTGGAAACAAAACACAAACAAAATTAAAACATTTTCTAGCTTACAAATACAACTACAAGAGGGAGAATACATCTCTTAAGGAACAACAAGGACTTACCTGGAAGCAAGCAACTCCAAATGAAATTCCTGCGACGACTCCCATTTCTGACTCAGTAATGGTCATTACCTTTATGAAGCATCCCTAATTTTGAGCATAAAAAACATTAGGTACAGTACAATCTGTGCTTTTCTTCTTGTAACAAATGCTTGGCGATTTAGCTACGATTTTACACAGTCATTTTAAGGGAATCTATTCAGTTTCACGTGCTCTAAAAGAGAACACACTGTTATCACCATTGTTTGGCTATGTACTTATATTTATCCAAATTTAATTTAAATCTTGCCTTAAAACTTCATTAAGTAAAAATCATATACTGAGTCAACTCTGTCCTCTAAAAGCCTTACTTCATTGTTGACTTTAGCTTCATCTCTCTGTGGAGAACAGTCTTCAACTCTACAACAACTCTTCGGAAATCCTTTTTCTAAGTAGTAATTTGTATCTTTCCAATCCTTATAATTTGTGACACCGCAGCAATGTAACTGAAAAATTCAAGAGAAATACTTAAAGTTCCTATTACAACTTTGTAGTCAAATATCTGAAAAGCCACCGCTTGGAGAAGGTACCACCTGGAACTACTTACCGTACTTTGAATCTTATCTACTGCATCACTTCTATAATCTCCGGTAGAGTTGTATTGCTTCAATGCTTTCTCATAATTGTTCTTAAAGCTGTTCTTAATCTATGGGAAATAAATACAATGTCAGTAACCAAATATTCTTTTCTAGGTATGAATGAGAAAATTTTGCATCTAATCAATGATGGTAGCTTTAGCGGGGTAATATGTACAGTAACATGTTAAGTCTCAGGGTTCAACTTCGTATTCTAAGGAACAATTGAGAGAACCTGACAACACACTTCTGTGGGTACATGTAACCATGTACTGCTGTAATGCTATGCTCCCTACCCTTATCTTTCTCTTCTGTACAAATCTGATGAACATGGGATTTTTAAGCTATAAAATGTTACTTTGGGAGACCTGCACTGGCACTTTATAAACATTCTCATTGAGGAGCCATTCCTACTCACTGAATCACTTTCCAACAGCCATTGGCTTGCCTGACTTCTAATTCAATATTACTCTTTTGATTTGTATTATATTTACCCAATTTCTTTTAAAAAAAAAACGGGATGGTCTCAGCAGAAACGTTTGCATTGCCAATTTTGTGTTTTAGATGTAAATTGTACTAGTTCCACTCTAATTGGTAGTTAGATACAGAAAAATAAGTTGAAATACATGCAACTTAAGTAGAAATAGATGTAATGATACGAACCTTTCATTTTCTCTTGTAACTGTCAGCCTACAATTTTCTAAAATTTCTTTTATATTAAAAAAGAGCCAGCTTTTTCTTATAAGAAAGCTATTATTGTCAGCAATAGGCCCACAAAAAGCTTTTAACACAATTTTTAAATGATTTTAAGTTGTCTACTTCTGCCACCTAAATCAATCCATTTTTACTGCTTAGAAGACAAATTTTATCACAGCAAGGTTCTCTATTGCAGGCCTACCTCATGTCTGAAAACAAATCCTACGATGGCAGCGACCAGTTCGACCAAAAAAATGAGAGTCAGAAACATTGCATACTGTGGAATAAAAAGAAAGCCCTAGTCAGCATAAAGAAGATCCAGCACAGCTGCAACAGAAGACAGAGCAAAGGGGGCGGGGGAGTCCGCTTAGTCGATTCGGTGTGTTTGTATTGAAAAGGGCAGGGAAAGCCAGAGCAAAATGTCTATTTTGAAAATGGAAATTGGCAGCTTGGCTGTTACTTGGAAAGTTTCATAAGGAACAGGAAATACTATAAAGGGCCGCGGGCAGTTCCAAGGAACAAAGCCTACTAAATAGGAAAACAGGGACTCACCAGTTTCAGCATCCATGCAGAAGCTCGGCAAGTAGCAAAACAGCCGAAGGTGCCCAAAAGAATAATGACAGTGCCCGTGCCAATGAGCACAAAGGGGATATTGGTGGCCTTCTCATTTAAAAGGGAAAAATAATTCTCCAGGCTCACCTTACCCCAAATGCCAACGGCAAGAAGGATAACACCAGTAATCTAGGTGGAAAATCAGAGAACACAAAAAGTTATACAAGGTAGAGCCAGCCAGCATCTTCAAATCACAAAGACACAATAGATGCGGGAATTGAATAAGCAGTCTGGCCGCCACACACAGCAGTGGGATATGGCAGACAGAGGGGAGGGTAGAGGGGGAGGGAGAAGGGAGGGCATTCGCACACAATGGTAAGCCGTGGACATTTTCATGAAAAATTCTTAACTTATCTGAGTATTCATGCGTCAGAGAGAACACAAGGTCTGGGGACAAAACTTTCATAACTGGTTTACTCCCGCCGTAGGAAGAAAAGTTTCATGGAAGCGGGGGAAGGGAAGCTTTTCTGTGAGTTCCAGAAACGTCTCCCACTCCCATCCTAATACCCTCCCCCACCCCCCCATTCAGGGATGAGCGCAGGATACAAAGGGATAGTACACAAAAGCAAACCTATGGCTAGATTGGCACAGGACGGTCATACAATACTTACCTGCGAAATACTCCACTCTTAGGAAGCAATGAAAAGAAAAAACGCTACTTTGCAAGTGAGCCCCCACAAAAGGCGCCGCGCAAGCCTTGCTTCTCCAAAGGTCTAAGGACTTTAAGTCCTGGGATTTTAAGTCCCTTCCTTGCCTCCTGCTTAGAACTCGGACACCTGGCACGTCAGGGTCCATGCTCAATCTGGTGGCTGCTTTTGTCCCGCTCAAGCTCTGAACCCAGGTCCCTCAAGGGCGGCTACTCCCATCCCACCCCATTCCTGCCTGAGCTCCCTCCGGTTACAGTCACACCCCTCCCCGCCGCAACCCGGGATCCCTGCGTTCCTGGGAGCCGCAGTCTCTTACCCAGAAAATGAACGTGTAGATCAGGAGCACGCTCTTGAAACAAGTAATGACGGGTTTAGTCTGCAGTCTCCGAGATGGGGACGCCATGACTTTGCCCGGGACCCTGCACCCACCGGAGTTGAGTGTACGAGACTTGCGGTTGCCGAGTCTCGCCGGAACCTGCCGAACACTTACGAGCGTCTACAAGAAGAGCCGGAAACACTGTACAATTTTCTAAAGGGTAAAGTCCCGGAGGCAGTCCGGAAAGTGGTGACTACTTCCGAGCGCCCCCTGCCGAAGGTTACTGAAAACTATATACAAAGGTTCTAGTGTCGGAAATTTCATAGGTCTTCAAGTGGAGCTTTTCTTCATGCTTGTGTCTTCCAGAGAATCTTTCCCGCCCCCCTCCCTCCCCCTCCCCTATTTCTTCATCACATTATTTTATCACCAGCAGCGCCAGCAGCGCCCTGACTTTCGGCCTCGTTGGCCCCTGGTACCCTGGAAGGAAGAAAAATGAAGAGCTTAGAAGTGAACAAATGATAAGACACCGGGGGTGAGAGGGGTACATATACCCACAAGAACTAACCTTTCAAACAGAAACAAAAAAGCACATCGCAAAGCAATACGGAGTCACATGAGATTAGATCAAGACAAAGGACACATGGAATTTACCTGAGTGGTGGAATTAGGCTGATTTCTTTGCCCTCAACTGAGGGGTGTCATTCACTGACACAAACTTATTTTCACAAGGGGTCATTTACTGTATTGCCATTGCAAAAGTCCTACTTCAGTAGAGGAGAGGCAAGTGTCCAAACTTTTCTGCCTGAAATCTTGCTTTAAACATATACCACAGAACCAAAACATGGGAAAGTTCCATTGACGTGGTCATACAGAGCTTCCCTGTGCTTCAAATATTGATCTAGGACTACTTCTTGTAACATCCTGCCAGACGTTTAGGGTCCAAAGCAAAAACTACTGTAGAATGAATTAGTGCACTGGTAGGCTCTACACAACTTTGCTCCTAAAACTGGAAAGTGCTAACACAAAAATACATGAAAGAGAACAGATAAATGATACATCTATACACACGATATAAACCTACAAAAACTTTTAGACAAAATCAACAGAATATGTAGCACACAGTCAACTTGTAAATACAGCACATATGCCAATCCAGGAGGTGGGGGATTGCTCTAAATTCATTTCCCTCTACTAAATGACCCTATGAAAGATCCTGGTAGCAACACAAATGGCAAATAATGACTTGTTATCTTAAATAAGTTCTTTTTAAAGCTTAGTTTACACCAGTATGTGAGAAGGGATTTTCATTATGCATCAACATCAAAGAAATGTTTCTGGGGCTAAAGACAAACCAAAACAGTTAAAGCAAAAGTCCCATCTTATTTGCAAGAATGTGTTGACTTTCCTCTCCCTTCCTGTGCCACACACAACATTGCTTTGTTTGAACAACAGTCAGTGCCAAATAAAACCAAAAATTGACATGGAAATTAATATGCCTATGCCCGCAACACCTTGCACCACTGCCACCTAGCCTGTTTAACCACTCCCATCCTCACCCCTACCCTCTTACCCCCAACACCACTGCCATGCCACCAAACCCAGAGATCAGTTTAATTCAAACCTAGACCTAGGTCTCAGTTCAAGCCCAGAATAAAGGGGTATCAAATCCCATGTAAAGCAGTTGAAGTGCTTCCCAAGCCAAAAGACAAACTTGTTCCTTAAAATATTAATAATCACTACTGTAGTAGTAGCTATGTATCAACTGCTGTCACTAAGGGCTTGATACATGTTAGCTCATGGACATATCACAAAGGTCCTAATGTGAGGTGGATACTACTACTGGTCTCATTTCACAGATGAAAAAGTTCAGAGTGGCTAAATAGCTTGCTTAGGACCAAGCTTGCCCTACTTTCCTTTCCTGAAGTAGAAATAGCCCATTCTGAGAGGAAACATGGCTATTGTACAAACAGCTGTCTCAGCTCAGAATAATCTGAGCAAAGACTACTATTGCGCAGATTTTTGCCACCAACAAGGGCTCTTTGCAGCTTGCTCTTAGGTTTTTGACTGAGTTTAATTTTTGCATTGACTCTAAAAGCCCAATCACCTAGGAAATACCCCTGCCTGTCCCAGAGTGATAAGGTAGAAAGTTCAATACTGGTTTACTCCTAATTGTGTATTTACCATTTTTAAAATCAGGCTTACTCTTGTATTTCCTCTTTGTGATCACAAAAGCATATTTAACATTGAAAATATAGGAGATGACTTTAAGTATTCCGGCTGCTATTTAACATTTACTAGGGATTGTGTCCTTTCCTAATTTCCTGTATCCTTTGTCATTGGGTTTAAATTTCTTTGGCAGACATTGGGCAAAGGAAATGACATAAACAAGAGCACATTGTTAAGTCACGTCAGACCTCCCCTGGGCCAACACTGCCCCCCTCAAGCAGCCATCCCCCATATCATCTTCACATATGAGGGCATATGTCAAACAATTCATGGAAGATGCTGAGTAGAGATTGTAATTTCAAGTGAGGTTGGAGAGCGGAGCGGGTATAGGAAACAGCCCTGGCTTCTTAGGGAAATAATCATACTGGTCGGTGTGGAGCAGAAAAGTCATATTGGAAAAGCAGATAGGAAATATGAGGGTACCCTGCAAACCATCCATGGCAGATGGAATGAAAAGATAAAGTTTATTTTGGTACCAAAACCATTCATCTATCATGACATACCATTTTCCATCAACTATGAATAGTTTTCAAAAGTTTTGGTCATGATAGATGAATGGTTTTGGTACCAAAATAAACTTTATCTTTTCATTCCATCTGCCATGGATGGTTTGCAGGGTACCCTCATATTTCCTATCTGCTTTTCCAATATGACTTTTCTGCTCCACACCGACCAGTATGATTATTTCCCTAAGAAGCCAGGGCTGTTTCCTATACCCGCTCCGCTCTCCAACCTCACTTGAAATTACAATCTCAACATCCAGTGCAACCCTAGATGAGGGCATCCCCAACCTTCCACTCCATTTCAACATCAGTGTTATGTCTAAACACATTCACATTAACCCAAACCTTAAGCCAATACCTATCCACCTGCTTTGCAGTTATACTTACCTATGCTACATCATGCTGACTAACAGAAACTGTGGAAGAGCTAGTTTGGCAGGGCTCCTGTGCTGCCTTTTATACTCTCCCCAGCACCCTAGAACATAATGTTAAATTGATGAGCTCATTTGGTGCTCAGTCAATCCCTGTCAAGCTCACCGCTCTGAGGTCATAATTGATACCCAAGGGCCACTGCAACAGCAGTTTTCATGATTGGCTTAACTAAAAACCTAAATTTCTAAGCTATTCCAGTTTTACACTGTCTTTAAATAGACAAATGAGGGCCTAGTGCAGTAGCTTAGTGGCTAAAGTCCTTGCCTTACATGTGCCAGAATCCCATATGGGTGTCAGTTCTAATCCTGATGGCCCACTTTCCATCCAGCTTCTTGCTTGTGGCCTGGAAAACAGTTAAGAATGGCCCAAAGCCTTGGGACTCTGCAACCACGTGGGAGACCCAGAAGAGGCTCTGGGCTCCTGGCTTCAGATCAGCTCAGTTCCAGCCGTTGTAGCCACTTGGGGAGTGAATCAATGGATGGAAGATCTTCCTCTCTGTCTCTCCTCCTCTCTGTATATCTGACTTTGCAATAAAAAATAAATAGAAAAATGAAGTTGATCTGCTAGTTAGTGGCAATGAGGGCTTAGGCAAGATACTCCCCCTGACATGGGACAAGCTCTGTTTAGGGTACTAGAGATGCAAAGAACACTCTAACACAGGGTTCTTGCCCTGTGGACTCCCAGAGTTTAGAAGGGTTCAGAGACCAGAATAATGACAATAATTGGGTAAATCAAATGTGCTGTGAAAAGAGAGCAAGGTAAGGAAAATCATCTCTGTCTGGAGTAGCTTGGTAGAAGGTACCAAAGATAGGGATGGACAGAGTTTTGAAACACAAAAGAAGAATGATGAAACAGAGCAGAGAAACTTGACCTAAGCAACAGACATGGAAGAAACATAATTACAAAGAATGGAGAATGGACAGACTAGGACTGAATATTTAAACCTGGCTGAAGAGATAAGTAAAGAGGGATTGTGACAGGTATACTTATCATTCTATAGATCTTAGAATGTACTTCACTCAAAAAAGGAGACAGTAAAGCAAAATATTAACACTAAACAAGCATAGGTAGATATGATACATTCTATGATAATCCCCCCCTTTCAGTGTCACTCTCAGAAAAACATACAGAGTATTATATAAGGTGTTCACCTTGAAAAGGATATTGTAGATCATTTGGCCTTACTCTATTAAAATTCATTTGCTATCACTCCCTTCAACCATCTCTGGCAGGTGCCATGCCCTCTGTCTAAGACCTGGACAGACCCGCCTCTTCCAGGGGCGTCCCTATTCTCAGTTCCTGCTAGAATCCTAGGTGTCACATGGCTGTATTTAACTATCTTGACTTAGGTTGCTGTATGGGTTTGTTATTGTGTTCTCCTAAACTCCATAATAAACACAAAGCCTTTAGACACTAAAACCTAAGCTCTCTATGTCCCAGCAAGCACATAGATTGATGCAGGGTAGAGTAATATGGTATAAAGACACCAAGGCTTGGAAAAATTTAAAGAATATCAGTATGTAAAGTGTAAAGGCTAGCATAGAAATACATAATGAAGGCTGAGAACATAGTGTGGTTGGCTTGTGACAGGTGTGGGATGTCATTGGATGGAATTTAGACTGTATTATAGAATAATAAGGAATCAGAGTGCCAGGCTGAAACAAATCTAAGCAGCCCAATGTGACTCTTTTGCTGTCCGTACCTATTTCTCTCTTGATATCAACCCCCTACTCTCTCTCACTTCCTCTCTCTCTCACCCAAATATAAACATTCACATTCACACACATATATACACAGACACAAAATGCTATTTAATCTATTCACCACTTCTTTACCACATTTTAAAGAATAATCTGCTATATCTGCTACTTTTGCCTCACTCCGTTCACCTTCATTTCCTATCCCTCCCCACAGCCATCTTGCCCAGCTAGCCACTCCCAGCTCTGACCTCACAGTCAGCCAGCTCTGGCAGGTGTCATGGCCTCAGCCTGAAACCTAGCCAAACCCACCTCTCCCAACAGTGTCCCTACATTGACTCTGTGTTAGAGT